CAGAGAGAGTGCCTCCAACATCAATGGTTAGGGCAAGTTCCACCAGCTGAAAGAATGCCTCAAATATCAATGGTCAGGGCAAAGCTCTACCACCTAAAATCCTCTAATATCAATGGCCAGGGCAAGCTTCACCAATGGTCAGAGTAGGCTCCAACATCGAGGGTCAGGTCTAGCTCCACCAGCATAAAGAGTGTCTTTAACCTAATCTCCTCTAATATCAATGGTCAGGGCAAGCTTCACCAGTGGTCAGGTCGAGCTTCACCACCTAATATCCTCTAATATCAATGGTCAGGGCAAGATTCACCAGCTGAGATAATGCCTCTAATATCAATGGTCAGGGCAAGCTTCACCAGTGGTCAGGGCGAGCTCCACCACCTCATATCCTCTAATATCAATGGTCAGGGCAAGCTTCACCAGTTGAGAGAATGCCTCTAATATCAATGGTCAGAGCAAGCTCCACCAGCTGATAGAATGCCTCTAATATCAATGGTCAGAGTAGGCTCCAACATCGAGGGTCAGGGCTAGCTCCACCAGCTGATAGAATGCCTCTCAATGGTCAGAGTAGGCTCCAACATCGAGGGTCAGGGCTAGCTCCACCAGCATAAAGAGTGTCTTTAACCTAATCTCCTCTAATATCAATGGTCAGGGCAAGCTTCACCAGTTGAGAGAATGCCTCTAATATCAATGGTCAGAGCGAGCTCCACCAGCTGAGAGAATGTCTCCAATATCAATGGCCAGGGCAAGCTCTACCAACTAAGACAATTTCTCTAATATAAATGGTCAGGGCAAGAATTACCAGCTCAGGGCAAAGCTCTACCAGAGAGAGTGCCTCCTACATCAATGGTCAGGGCAAGCTCCACCAGCTGATAGAATGCCTCTAATATCAATGGTCATAGTAGGCTCCAACATCGAGGGTCAGGGCTAGCTCCACCAGCTGATAGAATGCCTCTAATATCAATGGTCATAGTAGGCTCCAACATCGAGGGTCAGGGCTAGCTCCACCAGCTGATAGAATGCCTCTAATATCAATGGTCAGAGTAGGCTCCAACATCGAGGGTCAGGGCTAGCTCCACCAGCTGATAGAATGCCTCTAATATCAATGGTCATAGTAGGCTCCAACATCGAGGGTCAGGGCTAGCTCCACCAGCTGATAGAATGCCTCTAATATCAATGGTCAGAGTAGGCTCCAACATCGAGGGTCAGGGCTAGCTCCACCAGCTGATAGAATGCCTCTAATATCAATGGTCAGAGTAGGCTCCAACATCGAGGGTCAGGGCTAGCTCCACCAGCTGATAGAATGCCTCTAATATCAATGGTCAGAGTAGGCTCCAAACATCGCAGGGTCAGGGTTGGGCCCACCAGCTGATAGAATGCCTCTAATATCAATGGTCAGAGTAGGCTCCAACATCGAGGGTCAGGGCAAGCTCCACCAGCTGATAGAATGCCTCTAATATCAATGGTCAGAGTAGGCTCCAACATCGAGGGTCAGGGCTAGCTCCACCAGCTGATAGAATGCCTCTAATATCAATGGTCAGAGTAGGCTCCAACATCGAGGGTCAGGGCTAGCTCCACCAGCTGATAGAATGCCTCTAATATCAATGGTCAGAGTAGGCTCCAACATCGAGGGTCACGGCTAGCTCCACCAGCTGATAGAATGCCTCTAATATCAATGGTCAGAGTAGGCTCCAACATTGAGGGTCAGGGCTAGCTCCACCAGCTGATAGAATGCCTCTCAATGGTCAGAGTAGGCTCCAACATCGAGGGTCAGGGCTAGCTCCACCAGCATAAAGAGTGTCTTTAACCTAATATCCTCTAATATCAATGGTCAGGGCAAGCTTTACCAGCTGATAGAATGCTTCTAACCTAGAGAGTCAGGGAAGCTTTGCCAGCAGAGTGAGTGCCTTTAACATAGAGAACCAAGGAAAGAGCTACTAGCAGAGAGCGTGCATCTAACATATGGGTCCGGACTCTCTTGAAAATGTTGTCAATGGTGTCTCTACTGGCAATCTCCTAAGTGTGGGATCACCATTCATGTTAATATTAAAGCTTTTTTTATGGTTCTGATCCCATCTTTATTTTCAGGTTCCTCATCTAATCGTCTTTCCAGCTCACACAGCACAGAGGACGGGATTATCTACGACGACGTACCGTGCGACCATGAGAACCAAGATGGTGAGATCATGTTACATGCATGTGTTCCCCAAGGGAGGGAAAAAACAGTGACACAACGTCATACTTTATATTTAAATGGATAGTGCACTTAATCTGCTCTTTGAAACCGCTTGTTTGGAGCTGAAATGAAGTTTAAGCCTTCAAGACAGTAGGCATTGAGAGCTTGGCCTGCAAGCTCACAGTTTAATGGAATGGGACAGCTGAGATATCCAGATTTTGTGGGGTAGTCGGTGTAAATGAATCCTTATTTTGTCTGTTTCGATACACAATATGCAGGTGAGTGTAGGGAGGTGGAAGCCATTGTGTGTGCACTCCGACACCCATTGTACATTGTCGGTAACGTCATATCATGCTATACTCATTGACTCCGTCAGACTCATTGTATGGCTTTGTAATGTTCCTTTTGTCTGGCAGGGCTGGAATACCACCTGATCTATGAAAATATTCATCGCGAGGGGTGTGAAGACGCCCCAGAAGATACTGGCTGGAGCTCTAGTGAGTTTGAGAGTTATAGCGAAGACTCAGAGGCAGAGGAGAGAAAACCAAAGCCAGCAAAACCATTTGTTGCCTTCCAACCCAAGGTATCAATTTTGGTGACATCACCAGGTCCAACTTACACAGATCACAGACGATACGCAGAAGTCGTTTTAGCTGTATTAGCTGGAATGCACTTCTATTTTATTTTTAAAGGGGATCAATGTTACATTTATTTCCAAAACAAGTGTCATTACTCCTGTAGGTGATTTTTCTGATTCTATTTATTTATTTTTTATGCTGTTGTGACACTGTTCTCCAATGAGAATTAGACTGTTGTGTTAGTGATCATCAAATATACACAACATATAGCTGGGAAGAGAAAGAGAGTTTAAGTCAGTGTTGGGGGAGAGAATTTGTATCTATAGAGGGGACAGGGCAGCATTGGGGGGAGAGAGTTGGTGTTTATAGAGGGGAGTGGGCAGCGTTGGGTGAGAGAGTTTGTGTTTATAGAGGGGTGCGGGCAGCATTGGGGGGAGAGAGTTTGTGTTTATAGAGGGGTGTGGGCAGCGTGGGGGGAGAGAGTTTGTGTTTATAGAGGGAGTGGGCAGCGTTGGGGGAGAGAGTTTGTGTTTATAGAGGGAGTGGGCAGCGTTGGGGGAGAGAGTTTGTGTTTATAGAGGGG